CACGACGCTGCTGTTGCACCTCCACATGTTTTCCCGTGGAACGAAAGGTGAAGAGGACGTGTCTCCGTGAGAGAGACTGGGTGCGGCTACAAAATTAATAGGCGTTGATTCGGATAGAGCCTGCTGCCGCCCTGTTCAATTCGATTAATCAACACCGATTGATCGTACGCCGGTGCAGAGGGTAGGAAGAAAGGAACGGCGAGAGAGAAGTGGGTAATTCCGATTTTGAAAATAACCAGGCCACGTTTTTCCATCCCATAAATATCTGATCGATTCAATGGCCCATTGGCGGAAACTTGCTCCTTGGGAATGGGGAGGTGGTGCAATGACACGGCAGGACATGTGGACGCAATCGAGTCCGATCCGAGGGATGGTGGAAAATCGAGGTAAATATTAATAAACATTCCCGTGGAATTTCTCTGGAATTTCTATTGCGAGAGTACGATCGTACGACGAGATCTCACAAAGGATGTCGCTCGATCAAACCTCCAGAGAATTCCACCCCCGTGATAATTGTCCCTACGACCAACGATACTTTCCCTTTCGTCCAAGGATTCTTCCAGCGAGGATGATCGAATGAAATCTCGATGAGATTCATCGTCGGCTCGATTGAAATATCTTAAGGACAACGAATGCCTCGAAGAATGCTCGGATTTTCTCCAGTAATCACCACGACCTATACCCTTTGACGAATTTCGCGGAGAGGCTTGGAAAGCAGACCTAAAAGCGTTTGCTAGCTAGGATGGAAAGAAGAGATTGAAATACGCGTTGCAACCCTTTTAGCAGATATACTCGGATCTCCATCGATCGTTTAAAGGATCACGACTCGAAACCTTCCATAGAATTTATCTCTACATAGGCTTTCCACGATATTACATCCTGTCGTGGGATTTTCGCTCGTCGGCGCATTCCTGACCTGGATCAAGATCCTATCCATCTGACGGCTAAAAAATCAACAGTTCCCTCGATTCGAACGATTCCCGCGATTCGACGAAAATAAACGAGTCAATGTATCCAAAGCAGAAGTCTAGTGAATCGTTCGGGAGGTGGAAGCTGATCAAGAACGTCTACGCTACGTGACAGAACTCTGCGATACTTATGACTCATTCTAAAGACGAGCATCAGAGGAAGAAGCAGTCTATCTCGCGTAGGTACACGCGTTAGGCAAACGAAACGTTTCTGACAGTTGGTCTCGTCGAGTTCAACGAGGAATCCGTGTCGTGGTCTTCCATCGGTGCGTGTTTTCCAGTGTCGTACGACAGAGGAAACAATGGATCCGTTGACGGTGATCCATCATCCGTGAAATAGACCAGCGACGATCGAGCCTCCGCTCTGGTCCAACCGAATCTCATCTTCGTCGGTGTCACGAGCGAACTTTGATTGGAAGTTCGTTACGTCGTGGCGAGCAAGTAAGGATTTAATTGGAACATCCTGGCAAAAAATTCACCTCTCGTTAAACGATTACCGCGTTGCTTCCTCCGCTTTTTTCCCAGGGGTTTATGCGGATCGTTCCTCGCCCGGCGGCGGCTTGATCATCGATCCTCGCGTTGGAACCGGATGAAATCGAACGATGAATCGAGCCAACTCTAGTTTTCCATTTCAATTTTGCCTTTTCTCTTTTTTCCTCCCTTTTTAATCTTTTATTTCGTTATTCAGAGGACAGAGGGACAGAGAACGTCGTCGTAGCTGTTGGGATTCCCGGCTGATCACGGTGTTTCGAAGTTGCGCCACGATAAAATCGATTCCCTCGGAACGTGCGAAAAAATATACGGATGGGATCGGAATTTTGAAAGCCGTCCGAGCAAGAGGACGTTTATAAATAAATCGAACGTGCTGGTTTGCCCGGCTTATTCGACTTGGCGCCCCGACGTCCAACTTCCTCTAAAACCTTATCAGATGTATCCCTGGAAATACTCCGTCCGATGCTTGCAAAATACGTTGGAGATTGTACGTGTCGAGTGGGGATTGAATAACGATAAAGGAGATACTAATATAGATCGTCCTGTTTCGCGACGACACGCTTCCAATTCACCGACCCGACCGTCCAGTAATGCGTATCGTTGCTCTGTGCCAGTTCCTACGAGCGAGATACCTCCAATTTACGCCTCACGAGTGACGAGGCAAAGTGCTCGGTGAATATGAGTCAGCCTGATTACACCTATACCGAGCGATTCTTAATTTTATAATAATTTTCGTACCGCAGTCACGTTCCACGCGATTCCTACGTTGGCGGTTACGAGGAATTTTCAACAACTACGTCAATTCGCCCCACTCTGCTATCTTCATCCATTCTTCTGACGCTCCACGCTATCCCGAGCAGTATCATTCAACGAATTCGAGATTTTCGATGGATACTATGGATCTTTCTCTTCGTTCAGACACCATAGACGCAATGGCCCAAGCTTTGTCTCTGACTTCATTTTTCTCTTCTTTTACTGTCCTCGCATTCGATGCTTCCTCTCGACAGAGACTAATTGGAATTTTCAATAGACATTCGAGTTCATTCGTTCCACTTCGTTACTCTAACTCTCCAGTTAGAGACCCTAAATAATCACAGGGTGGCCGATGCTTCGTTCCAGGGAACTTAATTCTGCGACAATCTTTGGGCTAGGTGTGGGCAGTAACATTTCACGTATTACTTCAATAGTAATTAATTTCCAACAAATACACTCCGTTATCGCGATTCGCTTCTGTACTCCTCCATTTAGACCGCGAATAAGATTGGGCGAGACTACGAACCAGGGCATTCCTCTTCCGCCAGCCAGCCATTGTACCGATCGAGAAACCCCTAACGTACCATTTTTTCTCTTCTTTGTCGTTGTCGTAGACTCGCCTCTTGAATGTTTAAACGCGCTATTAACGATCGGTCGGTGGTAGAAATCGGAGAATCTACTCATAGGATGCGCTCAAGAGAGAAGACTGGTGTGACAACCGGTAGGAGAAAAATCGATGGGAAGTAGGACGGAATGGGACAGAGACGTTCCTGTACACACCGGGATTAAAGGTGAGGAAGCTAACGGGCGGCGAAACGACGGGGACCCGTGGTCGTTTCATTATTCATCGGGCGCGGTTGTTCGTTTGGCTAGGTGGAACGATTATCGGCTATCGGCGGCCAGGCTGCTCCTTTCCATTTTATAAAAGAAGGAAGGAAACCGTGTGTATCCGCCGTGTGTCTATCCGACACGAGCAAGTACGTACATACGTGCACCGCTGGCATCGTGTAACCGCTAACAAGGCTCTTCTATTTATAGCGGCGTTATGCCGCCTCTTCGAGAGTCGCTCGGCTGTTTTCCGATTTTCCCCGCAGCCGGGGGTCTCCACGACCTCGCTGGAACTGCACACCGGTCCGTCGATCCGAGAATAGAGCCGTCTAGCCTTCCCATGGAACGAATCTGGTCTGGTAACCGGCACCACTGTCTTATCATCTCTTCTTCGCCAGGGAACCTACTGCACGATACGATCGTTAAGAACTAGGCGCGAGTACTGTGCGTACCCTGCGAGAAGTCTGCTCTGCGCACACCTCGCGAGAAGCTTGCTGTGAAGTCCACGACAGCTTCGATACCGAAATCCTAAGCTTTAGGTTCTCTTTGACATGCGTTGATGTGGTAGTAGGATATATCATGATTGCTTCAAACGATAGTGTGCTCGTGAATTGCTGTATTAAGCGACGACTCCGATTGATGACTGGCTGACACTCTGGACCGCCTACTTTTGAGTTTGCTAACATTTAATCTGTTAGATACAAAGACACTCGATTGGAAAAATATATAGTGTCGAGTCAAACTCAGCGAGAAAGGGTGGATCCTTTACGCCATGACCAGTAAATCCATGATCCTTTCGCGAGAGTTCTTGGGAGACACACACCACAGGGTGCTAGATAGATCGATGTCGATGACTTCCTGAAGATGGAAACAGAGAGAGGGAAGAGGTTGTCGAACTGGTTGGAAGCATTCGCGTGGACAGGGATGAGACCTAACGCGGAACCTAATCCAACGTTGTTCTTCCGGTCTGGGTTGTGGCGGTTCGAACAAGGAAAAGTCTCGAGGTAGCTCCACTTTGCACTCGAATCGAGTGCAGTTTTAGTAGAGACCTAGCCAATAGGAGCGAGCTTTTGCACGGGATCGGCGTTATCAGGAAATGCAACGTCTCGATGCTCGTCTGGATGGCTATTAGACCTCTCCACTTGGCTCCCTTCTCCGTCTATCCTCGAATCAAGCGTGATCTTCCTTCGGAGTAGACGCTTCTTGGCTATTGGCACTATTCCATGCTCCTGCAGCCACTCCTACGCGTTGACCAAGCTACTGGTAGCTCTCGCTGCAGTCGTTAAACCCAGTCTCCTCTCGGGCGATGAGGAATCACGGTGTCTCACTCGATCTAATAGCCACGATCGGCCGATTATGAAACACGAGAGAGAGAGAGTGACGTGAAGAGAGGTGTATTGGAGACACAAAGGCTGTTGCAACTGGTCTAGACAAATGTAACCGAAAAACGGGCGCTGTAGACCGTGAAGTAACCCCTTTGAACATGCTCGTGGAAAAAAACAGCCCCTGGAAACATGGCTGGCTCGGTCACATCCCGAACTCGATCCTGGTCATCGTGTGCACCCGTCTACGAGTCAAACGGAGCACGAAATTGCGTTCGGAAGATCCAAAGGACAGGTGAGCCGTTGGAGTCGCTTCAGTAGTTAGAGTCGTCTAGAGTTAGACACGAGTCTGAGCCGTGTCATCCGTTTCACTGGGTGTCGAAACAGATCGAGTGATTCGACAAGGAATTGTTATTGTATCGCAAGGTTCCAAGCGATATTTGCACCCTGGAGCTTGAAATTTCAATCTGAGGGTTGTACGAAACGCCCAAACCGATGCCAGTCATTTGGATGGATATATGGATAGTACGGATGGATAGACGAAAATGAAAAAGAATTCTGAAGCATAGAAAAAGATAACGGAAAATTGTGCTATGGATTCCTATAATTTCTTACGGTGTTTCTCGAGCATCGAAAAATGGGGTTGCTTTTGTATCACGGCGCGTACGGGTGATTAACCCTTAAAGGCTACCATGGCTAGAACTTCACCCCTTGCAAATTTTACTTTGATCTTATCGAACAACGTAACCACTAGCAATACTAACTTTATGAATATTTATCGACGTCGTCCGTAGTGTGGACGTTGTTATAAAACAGATCTCGCGTGCAACAGATTCTCCCATCTACGCTGCTATGAGTGTAACGAAAAGAAGTTAACTCGAGGGTGATATTTACGAAGACTTTAAGGGGTCAAGAGGGGTTAATCATGGAATTTTAACCTGGATGGATCAGGAATCGTTGGTAATCCGAAATGGGAAGAAGATAACTATAGATCATGCGAGATTCGCAAGTGGGGTGGAAGAACGGCAAGTTTGCGAGGTGGTCCGAATCTAGTCGAAATCTATCGCGGTTCTGCTCGGCTTCCGGCCAAATGTTTCAACTATTCCTGCTTATTTTCGACTTCCTCGTATCCCCGATGTTCCCCTGTTTTTCCAACGTCGTCGAATTTCCGTGAAAGATCTACTCCAGACGGATCGATGATCTTCGATCGATGAACAGGCGAGTTGCCTAGGAAATTCCCAGTGGCCGCTTTAAAAGAGCCTCACGTTCGCGCGAAAGTCACGGATGTTGGAGCAGAAGACTTCGTTTAGCTGCTGCTTCCTCTCGAGACGGCCAAACAATTGATTTACCAAGAGATTGGAAGACGCAAAACAAGACACCGTGAAAGAGATCCTACCAAACTGCTCCTCGCTCTCTACCCTCTCCATCCAGTTCCATCCCGACACACCGCGAAACTAATTTCCCACTCGTTTTCATGCAACTCTCGGCGACACGAATTTTCTCATTTTCGTTTGCCTAAATGGTGTAGCGAATCGCTGTCGTGGCTCTTTAACGAAAGGTAAATACTCTTGACATTTCACTTATGAATCCTGGAATACCCAGTGCTTTTACTCGCTTAATACCCGTCGATAAATTATTCATAAAATACTTAAGCGAAATTGTAAGCTGTTTCTTCTTTCCTCCCGTTCTGCATCTCGATTGTTTCAGATCGACCGTTTCCGTCGATCGAAGGACAAAAACCATAGTCGATGATCGTCGGGAGATCGTTCATAGCACACGGCTGTGTATTTAACACGTTGAAGCACGAGATTCAGTCTGAGCCCCTCGAGACTTCGTTGCTAATTGGCTCAGCGTATCAACGACCTTTCTTACACCGCGAGCTTCCTTTTCTCCCTAGCGCACGAGGAAAGAGTAAGCTTGAACCAACTTTTTAGTTAATTTGGATTAATACACCGTGAGCTAGGGTTCGTATCGACTCACTCACACCAAGATTGTTAATTAATGTTGCAATGCCTGAGTTATCGCTGTCCTCTTCCACTCTTCGCTCTGTCCGATGACACCTTTGACACCTTTGACACCTCCTGACGACACATGCTGACATAGTAACCGGTCTAGTCAACTCGCAGCTGCTTTATCCCGCTCTCTGCCACGTCTTTTCTTCGGTGACTCGACCCTGCTCGTGTGATTCCATTCATAAATGCGATAATTACGATTCACGTGTCCCATTTTTACGGATCACGATCTCGTCATTAGCGTACTAGCCATCTTCTTCGTTAATCAGCATACCCGAGGTTCGCGTGGCACGTTGCAATTAAAGAAATCGAGACAAATAAGGCCCATAACATATTTCCATTTCCTCGGGGTCGAATAAAGTTTCTACCTTTGGCAGACAGTCGTTAAACTTTACTCAAAGGTCTCCAGCATTCCGTTTCAAAGCGTACAACGGGCAGGAATTACGTAGCTACCCTGCACCATCGCCCCTCTGCCTTCCTCTTCGTTCGCCAACTTTCGCGGATATCTTCAATCCGTTCATCGGACGTCCATGTAACGCGATTTGCCCAACTCGGAGGCCTCCGTCGAATCCGAAGTCCGTTGAAAGAACGCTGGAACAAAGGGCGGAATAAACCGGGGCCGAAGTTAGGAACAGCACCGCGTTTCCAAGTTTCTGACGGCGGAGGAAAGTTCTGCTATGACAAACCTATTCGCTTCGCGCGAATTTTCGCGGTTCCGATATTTACGCGTGCTACTTGTTGACGTTGTTTGTTTCAAAGAGGAAACCAGGCTCACCGCGAGGTTTGCGGATGCGCTCGGCTCCGTCACGCGATTGTCTTCTCTCGAAGAAATCGGCTTACGGTTTTAGCACTGTTGACCTGTAATGGGTGGCCTGCGAATATGGTACACATAGATAATATTAATCAACGCTGCGAGCATTTGGATGACGAGCTGGTTTGGGAAAATTAGCATCAATTGTATACGCACATATGGTTATTTTCGTCGTATCAATTTGCTTTGTTGAAGTGGTGAGATAGAGATAAACAGGTACAGTGAGTCACGAAATTCTCATCTGTAAATCGTTCCCTCCGAACAATTATCTCTCTCGTACATCATACATTCGAAATCCTTATCAATGGGAATGTGTTAATTAAGCTTCCAATTGATATCGACTTTATTGCAACGTAGCAATAACGCGAACGGAATAACGTCGAGATTAAAGTGAAATAACGTGAAATTTGCATAAATCCTCGCGAAGGTATTCGTACCTTCGGCCTCTTTCTAAAGGTATTTCGTCATCACAACTTTCGGTCGTTGATCGATGTGAATTGAATATTCGCTGACGAAAGTTTTAAAGCTGATGCTGTAGAGGAGCAACGGTTTAAAGTGGAGACACACGATCAGGTTCTTCCTTTAATAGAAATCAACGATCATTTTTATCAGTTGGAACAAACGAAATGTCGATAACCGATTATTTTGGCAATTTTTGTAGCTCCAAGGCGGATAACAGCGATCATGGGGCATGGAAAGGAGACTTTTCCCGTGTGGAACGTAGTAATAAGGTCGCGTAAAAGACGTTTAGAGCTCGTTTGATGGAAAATTGGAGCCGCGGTGGTCGAGCACCACGATGACGTATGACAAGTGGCCCTCAATGTCGGCACATCCTGCACGCCGTGAGTGCGAGTTAATCGATTCGTCCTTCGCTTAAACGTTCTAACGTAGGCACTGATTAGCTTCTTCGACACCGGTGATCTGCCCACGGATTCATCTGCTGGAATTGACTGGGAATAGGTCGTGATATATCACTCCGAGAGGCGTCGATATGTAATTGTCGATTTGTGGCAGTTCATCCAGTGGCAATTAGGGTACCTTCAAAACTGCCCGCCTCTGGTTCAGACGAATAATATCGCGATTACTAGAGTCCGTTATATGGAGAAAGACGATGTGTAAGAAGTTGGGGATGGTGGTAAAGGTGGACTAAAATAAAGGGTATTTTGCAGCATCATCGAGGGCTGAGCTATCGAAAAATATGGCGTCAGGAATACCGAGCGTTCATCAGAGGAAGCTTGGACCAGCGCCGATAGCATCCTTCGAAGACCTGTCCGACGAGGTGGAAAACGTGAGTCCTTCCCTGTGTCCTCCCTGAGCCTCCTCTCTAAGTCGGCTGTTTCGAGCGAGATCCGCTCGAGGTCTATAAGTCGTCGAAGATCTCGTTGATCGCGGGTTACGTGCGTGCGCGTTCCCCCTTCGAAAGTCGAAGTTCCGTGTCCCCGGAGCAGGCCGACACCTGTGTGCGTTGTCCATCAACCATCTACTACCAACCACCACTCAACCACTACTCAACCACTACACCCCAGTGATTGTGACTCGACGACAAAACCAGCCTTACGAATTTGAATGCAGGGGGAACCGGCTGCGCGAATGCCAGGCATCGTCGAGGTCACCACGCCGGCAACGCCTGGTAGTTCGCTTAAGACACCCAGCACGCCGAGAATTGACATCAGCAGGGCGAGCAGTTCCTCCCACCATGAGGACAGTAACTCCAGGGACTCGACGCCGGAGAGGGAACTCCTTGCAGGTATCAGATCCTCGATAGATCACGAAGCAAGTTTGTCGTGGTTCGGTGCGAAGAGGGAGCTGTCGAAATGGCCAGAGTCATCGAATATACCGATTGTTAGGAGCATGTTGTTTCCATTGGCCAGAGCGTGCGTGATTTAATCGTCACTAGTTTTAGGGCCCCGTTGCGTTTATATTTATACGGGTGTAAAGGTGAAGGAGTCACGCGAATATTGCGAGCTACCAAGCATCCATGACGTTCCACCCCCGCGTGTACTTTCTATCCCTGAGGAATGAAACACAGGAACGATAAGATCGCGAGTGATTCATCGTTAGCAACTTTATATTCTGTGAGTCCCGAGTTAACGATTCGATCCGTGGACCTTGCGAGGTTCGCTTAAACAACGGACCAACCCTCGCTGAAAGCAAACCTCGAAAGAAGTTTCCTCGTAGAGGGAAATTGCGAGTTAAATCGTTCTTACGAGCAAATTGAATTTTCCACGGTCGCGAGGACGTGTGACGAGATTCGATTATGTCTCTAGCTAGACGCTGCTCGTTAGTTCCTGCAGCCACTCTCCGTCGTGTGGAAATTTCGAGTACTAAATAGGGACAGTTTGTTTCATCTGTCACGAGTGTCATTACGCTTTATATATTAGTCCTCTGCGTTTCCTTTGCCTGCGAGGGTAGCCGTGGAATAATTCGTTGCCGACGATAGGCCCCCTCTTCAATTTCGTAGCTAACGAGACGTTCGAGGCTCTTTTGTTTGGTCGTTGAACCCTGCTTTCCTACGGTACAGAGAAACGTCGTTTCCTTTGGAATTAAGTAGTCGAGGATAAACTCGGTAAACTAGGCTGTAACGTTGCCATTTTGCCTCTGAGGCCAATGATTCCGTGTTTGCGTTTGGCCTGGACGTTAAATTTGCTGCGCATATTTAAGGGAATAATTCTGCTATTTAATCCAGACGAGAGATTGAAATTCTGAACTGGAATACACGGTGACACACCGAGTGGGTAGGTCTTTCATTTGGTAATAGTGGTACCAACGGTAGCTCCAGGTCCTCTGCTAGAAGTAGCAAACACCTGCTTCGTACAGATCTGCTGTACAACCCGTATAAGGGGTCTTATAGAGGAGTATATGCTATATGATCTAATCTAGACAAAACGTTGAAGTAGTGTCTTGATTGTGCGTTGTTCGAATATTGCTTACACGAAACATCAAGCTGCTAGGTCTTTACATCGTTTAATAATAGTGGCAATAACGGTAGCTCGTATTTCCTTGCTAAAAGTAGCACCCAACTGTGAAACGATCTAAACGTGAGACCGACACGAGAAACGCTTATAACCATCTTTATGGACCATCGAAATTTAACGTCCCGTTGCTATTGTACACTGCGCCGAGAATTAATTGCGAGGTATACCTCGATGTACATGCTGTTAAACGAGTGGCGTATCGATTCGATAAAGAAACGTACCCGAGGATTGCAGCTGGACGCGAAGAAGAAGGTTGCCACCGGGCTTAGCTGCGATCGATCGGGAACAGGCCGCGTGTGTTGTTCACCGATGTCTCTAAATATTCCCCCGAGATAACGCGAGCCCCGCTTCTACTCGTGTGCCACGAATTAATACGCGCCGTGACGTTATGGGAGAATTCAAGGGGAACGCGGCCTGGTGGAAGTTTGTCCTATATTCGAGGGACTCGCCTTTGTCGCTAGCGACACACATACGGCATGTGAAAAGCGACACGTTTCCCGATTGCCTCGCAAACCGCTCTACCACCGCGGATCGTTGCGTTTTTGTCGTGGATCCGTAACGCTGTAACGCGATAACGAGCCTGAATGGCAACTCGATCTTTTCACAGTAATGGGTGATCGTTATTTTCCATTGATTTTGTGCCTTTTCCTTTTCTCCGTTCAAATCGGCGCAAACGCAAGGAATGAGCCCGTTTCGTGCGTTAGCGACACGTTTCGATCGACATTTTCATTTCTTTCGAGGCAAGGCACTTGAATAGAACCGTGCAAAAGGTAGAAACGTTTGTAGAAAGAGAGTTTGAACCCGTACAGTTTTGTTTGTAAATGTAGG